AGTGTTCAATTTTCTCATTTGAGGACCTCAAGACTGATAGGCTAAAAACCCTTGTTAAGCTCAAGCAGGATAAGGAAAGAGAGAAGTTTATAATCAGAGAAATGCCTAAGCTTAACCACCCAGAGAAGGGCATCCTTGACTCCGAGAGAAGATCAGAAATCAGCTAAAGAAGATGGAAAGTCAAAAGTGACCCTGATCCAGCAGATGAAAACAGAGGCCTGTTTTCTGTAAACCACTGCAGAGAAGGAGTTCGTTGATAGGAATAGTGTTGAATTCTAAGAGTAGACTAATGTTCAGCATGACCTAGAAGCATGTGGAGGCTGATATGCAATGGGGTGTTCATCTTCATGGAACCACTTCATTCTACCAGGCAGGATTTTGTTTGAACAGAGCTATCCAGAAGAAGCTCCAAACAATTAAGTAGGCATCTCGGTACAAGCTGAAACACCCATGAGGGTGGTGAAAGGTTTCCCAGCTATGCTGGCAATTTGATGCTGTATGGCAAAATGGAACAATCAGGGAACAGTATGTCCTCATTTATAATGTTACAACTGAAACAGTGTTTATTCTCCTTGACCTGCATTATTTGGATCTGCCTGTCATAATTTAAGGCTCCCAACACCTTGGTATCTCAGCACAACTTATTCTCATGTTCTTAAGTGACATCTATTCATACACCCTTTAGAAGTTGTCGGCAAAAATTTTCTGAAATGAATTTCTTTTAGTTTTTATTCCCTTCTCCCAAATCCTTTTAAGCTATCTCCTAACACACACAAATGCAGAGGACGTTTTTCTCTGTTTCCTTTCATGTTTGCTTCTGCTATAGCAGCTTGTTATTTCTTTTGCTAAAGCTTCAGAGACCACTTGAGGACTCTTAGTAATGTATTCATTTTAAGGTAGATTTATCTTCAGAGCTCATAAATAGAAAGACTCCACTTCAGTGGGCTCTGGATCAGGTGTTTAGTGGTAACATCATTTCAGTTCTCCTCATCTAGTTGTTTGGGCCCAGCATGCATCCCCTGAGACTGCTCAGATTTTCACCAGAGACTCTAATGAGAGGAGAACCAGCCCCTACTTCCTGAGAGACAGCCTATAGAAATCCAAAAGAAATAAGCACAAGACTTTCTTGAACAACTGAGTCTAAAACTTGATCTGATTTTATCCTCAATCTCACCAGATTTTTTTCCACAGCCACTCTGACCTCTGTTCTATGTATTATCCTAACAGGATGAGCTGGAGTTTCAGTTACCCAGGCCTAGTGGAAATTGGGCCCAGCAGTCATTTGGCAGTGGCCCTTCAAGAGCAGCAATGCCAGCTCTCTATTGCAATACCCACATTTAGAAATCTGTAGAATTAGAGTCCAAATTCTGCTTGTATCTGCAAGCCCAGAACACCACTGACTTCAAGGGGGTTGTAGGATTTTAGCCAAGAGCAGAAATTGGCCCAGGAAATTTCAAGATTCTCTCATGTTTGTTTATCTGGTGTTATCATTGAGAACTAAGAACTTGCTTCATGATGCATTTTACTTTTAAATTACATAAGGGATATTTACTGTGCCGATGCCACATAGTTTGCAGGAAAGATGCACATATGGAAATGAAAAACACTGATTACCATCAGGATTTCCAGCTTCCAGCATTCATTTTCCAAAACAACCCAGGGACTATTTCTCATAAAAAAAATGTAGACATGAAAATCAAGTTTTTTGCTATTTATGTATGGCATCCTGCAGTCTTACTCATCAAGTCTGTTGTGAAAATGATCAGAATAAAAAAGCCTCATAATGTAGAAAAAGTTCAGTCCTCTGCTTTTATTTTCTCTATGCTGGTTTCCCAACCAGAGACATGAGTCCTTGCCTAAAAATAATGGCCTTCTGTCTCTCGGGGTAGGAGGAGATCTGGGGAGAGCTGAGTGATCACCAGGGCCAACAGGTAAAAACACAGATAAAGGCTGAGAATGAATGGATCATTCTGTAAAAACAGGTAAGTGGACGCCAGGCAGAGCATGGCTGCACAAAAGCATCTGAGCAGCCAGTGGAGCCAGGTCAATCCTGCCCTACCTAGTGTGATACCACCTGCTTCAAAGCCAGCAGCTCATTGATACTCTTGCAGCTGCAGAACAGACGTGAGAGCAAAGTGCCTGCTCAGTGTCTGTCTTGAGTGGGGAGCAGCATAGGATGGAGATCCTCCACAGAGCAGAGCTCCAGTCTGGTTCTCATTGGAGCTACTGGGCTGCTCAGCATCTTTCAAAATGAGGCAGATTGTTTTGCCAGGCAGTTACAAATCTGGGAGCTTCCTTCTAGATAGCCTTTAGAAATCTGGGCTGAGGTCTTTTAAAGCCTTAACGACTCCCCACTTAAGCTTTTAATATCCATGTTAAATTGTTCATTGAGCATGGCCTGGTATTCAGTGTTGCCATTGTCACCCCATGAGTAACTTTAGGCAAAGAAACTATCTTGTACCTCTGTGCCTTTTCTTCTGCATCTGCTTTGTCTATGTAGATAGTAAAGTCTTTCAGCCAAGGAGTGGGTCATGCTATGCATGTCTAGTCATCAACACAGTGAACTCCAGTCTTGCTGAGTCTTGCTCCAGTCTCTGTGCTCCTCAGTCCTACCCATAACAGTAGCATTTTTACACACAGTGGCTTCTGTATATGCTTGCCTTTCACCCCACTGCAGAAACAGGGTTTTAGCATTACTATTTACAACTAAAATTTGGAGTCCTAAACTCTGTAAAACTGAAGTATCCATATACCATGCTTGCATGAACCCTCCACAAATTCTGATTCTATGAAATAGGTCACTGTACTGAAAGTCTAGAGGCGACCAACGGCTCTGGCAACCAGGTACTAAATTGTGAGCATAAAGGGACCGAAGATGCTCTAACATGACAATTTCATCCACTGAAAAGTCTCTATACACACAAGAAAGCTGGCCCTACCTGTGTTCTGGTCCTTGCAATCTAAGTAGGGAAGTAAAGACCCTGTTGTCAGGGCAGCACTGCTTGGTGATCCATTAATCATAGAATCAGAATGTTTAGGGTTGGAAAGGACCTTAAAGGTCATGTAGTTCCAAGCCCCTGCCATGGGCAGGGACACCTTCCACTAAGACCAGTTGCTCAAAGCCCCATCCAACCTGGCCTTGAACACTGCCAGGGATGGGGCAGCCACAGCTGCTCTGGACAACCTTTTGCCAGCGCCTCAGCATCCTCACAGTAAAGAATTTCTTCTTAATGTCTAACCCAAATCAACCCTCTTTCAGTTTAAATCCATTCCCCCTTGTCCTATCACCACATGCCCTTGTAAAGAGGGACTTTTACCAGCACTCCTTTGGAGGCCTTTAAAAGCAGCAGAATTTAGTGCATTCCTGAAGGTGCTCTGGGCCAGTTTTTGCTTTTGCGACTTTCTATTGCCTCCTCTGCATGTAGCAAAGCTCTTGGATAACACTGTGTCCCTCGATTCTTGGATTTAGAAGCCTGTCTGTGTAAATAATCTTGGTGCCCAAGCACATACTGGTGCCTAGAAAGCAAGCAGTTTGCTCGAAGCATCTGTCAAGGATCTAGATATAAATGTTCCAAATGACAAAAATGTCTGTTCATCCATCTACCTTCCTGCTTACGAATGCGAAGAGCACTGGATTATTATGGGTTTGATGCTCTTGTTTGTTCTGTTACTGTCCATCTGACCTTGCTAGTTCAGATAGGCTGTTTGTCAATGCCAGAGAAATCTGCTGCAACAACAGAGGGAATATCTGGTGTCAGTGTTCTCCAGCTCCTTGAGGAAACTACCTCATTAGAGAAGCTAAAACATCATTTTGATTGCTTAGAAGCAAGCATTTTTTTGAAAAAATCTCCATGCAGTTACTCACTTCTTGTAAAATTATAATGCCTCAAGTCTTTTTCTAAAGCAGCCCAGGGTACTGGAATGGCTTGAAATCTGCAGCCAATAAAAAGTTTTACAGCAAAGCAGATCTGATCAGTGTTTCTTTAAGTGAGACAATTAATCTGCGCTGTCAAAATGTCATCAGATTTTGGTGGATTTAAAAACAATAAAGCATTTTAGTGGAGAAAGTAATAAACCAGGACACTTCTATAGCTTCACAGATGTTTATAATGTATTTGAGATTTGGTGTGCTTTCTTTTGGAAATTTGGAGCTTAGATTTTTAGTATACCTAGAGCACAATTTTTTTTGTCCCATAATATGCAACTATTGTGTCACGATCAGCTTTGAGCTCTCTCATAAACTTTGGTGGGGGACATCAAGCTGAAGTGGGATGACTCTTCTACTTTAGGAAAGAAGCTTGTTGGAAGATTGATATCTCTGTCTGCTTCTGGGTAGTACCTTTCATTCAGGGATCCTACAGCTATCACAGAAATTCCTAAGTCCTTCCAGCCAGAAGTACGACACATCCTTACTGCCTTTCTGAAGTGTACTTTACTCACTGTTGCATCGCATCAGGAGGGACAGAGTCTATTCATCTCTCACCTCCATGCAGGCAGTTTCCCAAGGAATTGCCAGCGAACATATGTTACAGACTATGCTCCCTGTACTCTCTACACAGGGAGAAGAAAGGGCCAGAGAAAGAGGTATCATAATCCTGTTCTCCTGTAACAGATCAAAATCGTTTGGATACCACCATATGTGAGCAGCTCCTATGCAGACATAGCCTGTGTGAGGACCACAGTGACACAAGGAATCAGGGATATCAAAGGCCTATCCATCCACATTCCCACCACATCACTGCTACATTTTATGAAACCAGATATTTTTTAATTTAACTTAACTGAAAGAAAGTCTGGTGTCCGACTCCCTGTACTATCTTTTAATGTCCTGTGCACTATTCAAGACATATTAAAAAGACATATTAGCAACTTACCAGAGTTAAATGCCTGGTGAACTTCCTGAGCAAAAGTACACGTAGAACAAGGTTGAGGATTTGGATCACTGACAGGTCTATGATTGAAGAGAGGTTTTTTCTTTTACAGTCACAGGAACATTTGTTCCTGCTGAAAATGCTTAGCTAATGTTTCTTAATGCACATCAGTTGACTTGGAACTTCAGAGGTTTACGATTCCTCCTTTCTTCCCTACGATTCCTTCCCCTCTTCATCTTTCTCCCTCTCTGCTCTTCACATTCCTCTCTTCTGCTGCCCTCTGAAGTACTCCTTAGTGGGGTTAAGACATAGCTGATAAACTAGGAAATTATGACATCAGAGCAATAAATCACACCTCCCTCCCAGCGTTCTTCTCTCTGCTTCTTTCTTCCTTTTCTACTAATCTCCTACAGGAAAGAGGAAAATCGTGACATTAGAAGGAAGCATCTTCTTCCAATCTCTCTGCTGCCAGTCAGACCTCTTGTAGGAGGTGATTTTATCCTTGTCTTTAAACATTCTAGAATCGTGATAATAAATTTATGCCCCCTCAGTTTTCAACCTTAAGAATGAAAGCATGATACAGTCTTCTGTTTTCACAGTAATGGCCATTTGACAGTATTCTGACATCTTACAGGCTTGCAAAGTTTTCCCTCCTTTGGGAAATTGCTAATAATCAGAGTTGCCATAAAAAACAAGTTCTGCAGAAGGAGAGCATCACACCTGAGTTCAGAGCTCCAGACTGCAGCTGAATTTATTTATTTCACTTAGCAAAACTCTGGTATTTCTGAAAGTCACACCTCCTAAAGCATAACATCCCAGATGTGAAGGTACAATGGATTCCTGTGTGCTTCAGCCGTGAGAAAGCTGGGGTGTATAAGTAATTCAAGTTCTTCCAAAATACTGTCTTATAAAACCTACATTGTGCTTTGCTCCTGTAGAAAGCATTCTCTACAATCTGCTTGGGAATATTAATTTTACCTACTTTCTTGTCCTTACTGGGCCAAAATAACATTTACACACCCCACACCAAGCTCACTAGCTCTCATGAAGAATAGTACTTAGTATACTGCTGTTAATTTGCTGACATACCTAATTATATAGTTGAATATGTCAGCATTAAGTTATGTCTATATGACAAGCATTAAAGTGGCTGTTATGTAATGCAGATGTACCCCAAACCACGTAAAATGAAGCTAATACACTGCTAACCAGTGTAGAAGCCATTGCTAAGCCACATGGACTGCAAAATCAGAGTAATATTTATTGACTTACAGTCACTAGCCTGTACCAAACTCTGTTTTTAGCTACTACAGTACTACTGGCAATAAGACCTTGCCCAGTATTTCTGCCTACACAGCAGTGATCACAGCCTTGAGTTCCAGTGGTGGCAGATGAGCCTAGCCACAGAAGGATAAGGTTTCATCATCCCCTCTTTCTGTATCCATATTCTCCATGAGAAGTTTCCACCTTTGTGGTCAAGGTGGAAGAAAGGGATGGTAACCTAGCTTATAATTCATATGGCCCATTTTACAGCTTAAAGGAGTGGTGGAGATGTGTTGGTGCTGAAATGTTGGATTATGAACTGTAATACTTTCATGCTAGTGTCAATAACATCCAGTAGAACATACTGGGAGGAGCACTGATCATTTACAAAACTATCACTGAATGTGCTGGAGCTACCTGCCAGAGCCCTTGCCATTGGAAGGGAGAAACTGGGAGAAGTAAAAACCATAGAACAGAAGGTTTTACTGACAAAACATCCCAGTGTAGCTAAAAATCAAAATTAAGTCTTGAGTAAACCAGAGAAATTAAAGCAATAAGTAAAACAGGGGAAATCATAAACATTAGAGAGTTATGTATTAGTCCATATCTAACACAAGTTACTTCTTAAGGGTTTTCTCCTCCAGAGCTACAGGAGATTTTATGCATGATCTTGGGCAACATGCATACCTTATCTCTGCTGTGGTGTTAGATATACTTCCCTTATAATAGCTCATTTTGCAAGTTGCCGAGTGTCAGACTATTTATTAGATAGAACTATATCAGGTTTTGAAGAAGGGATAGGACCTGCAAAAGGCATATAAAAATGGGATGAGTTCAGTTGTCCTTGGAATCAGTGGGAGCTGAGGGCATGGCAGAAATCAGGCATTCTCAGGTGCAGTCTCTAAACAGCACAGAGGGAACAGGTTTAGTGTAGAGGCAAGTATCAATGCTCAGTAGACAAATTGTTTCATTGCAAAAAAAAACAAACAAAAAACAAAAAATGTTGTTTGATTTCCCATTGGCAACACTTGTAGAAGATACTTCATTGTATGACTGCTTCTTCTCCCGATGAATGAGCTCCTGGTAAGCCCTTGGGAAAAGTCTGAGTACAATTTCTAATGGGTCAGGTCCTGTGAAAAATGGGGTGATAAAACTTCCATTGTTCAGCAAAGCAGAGGAGTTACCAGATGTGCAGGGGCTGCACCAGCATAGGGGCCCTTGGTGGTGAAGAGTCGAAGTACATAGTGACAAAGATAGAAAAAGACAGGGGCTGGCAACCATGATGGCTGGTCATGTTACTCCTTACAGCATTAGGTATATTAAATTGAATAACACAAAATGGGAAACACTGGAGAGTGCCAGCACCTGGGAAGACACCAGTACTTCAAATTCATTTGATGGCTAAATCAAGTGGTATTTGTATGAGTGGGTTTTATATCCTTTAAAGTTATTTCCACCTGTTAGCAGCATAACTATGGAAAGATCAGAACAAACAACGTTCACTATTTCTGTGCATGGACACGAATATTCTACCTGCTGTTGAGTTCCTTTCCCTGGCTGTTACCTTTATTGTCTTATGTATACCAGAGAATCAACATTTCGGCATTACAGCATTCTTTGTCATGTCCAGGTAATTAAAAGAATGGCACTGCACCTGGAAGAACTATAAAAATATCCTTATAAAAGTCTCAGCAGCATTTAATACTTTATTCCTTGCTATGTTGTTGTATTTTTCCTGCCTCATGGAAGTGAGACACTACCACTAAGGCCTAAGAAACATCCTCCATTACATTAGCTCCATGCCTTTTTTTATATCCTTCCAGTTTTGGATCCTTGTTTTTAAACAATCTTTCTGCTTTCAGGAAAGAAAGAAAAACCCCAGCCTTTCTTTTACTAGAAGCAGGGAACCAGAACAGGCAGCATTTAAGCTTTTATCCCTGTTCCTATACATAGAAAAAACTGTCTGAAACCTTTATTTCCCAAGGAAATATATTCTGTGTTTTAATCTTGTAATGCCTAAATAATTGCCTTGCATACAACACTATCTTGCCTGTCAGTGACTTCAGGAACTCTAAGTAAAAATAAAGCAGTTTAATATACACAAAACATTGATAGTTTTATTACAGAAGGTGTAGGAAGCCAAGCTGCACAAGAACAGACATAACTATTAAAGGAAAATTATCAAGTTGCCACAGCAAGCTGTTCAGAAATAAATGTTCAGGTCCCCCAAAGCCATGTGATGGGTTTAAAGACTTTTGGTTTTCAAAATACCGGTTCAGTGTGTTCTTACTTGCCTTCACTTTTTGATATGCTGCGGAATCACAGGAAACAGCTTTATCTTACAAATGTGGAGGCTGAAATCTTTGTTTAATAGAGATCCTTGAGTGTTAACATGACTCCAGAATCTAGAGGTTTCAGGAAATCACCACCAAGGTCACATGGCCAGCAGTAATGTCATAAGATTTAGCATCATTAGTGTATTCAATTATAGCAAACTGACTGATGCTCCCACACATGCAGTTCCTTGGAGGTATACTGTTTTTTTCCATCCAGCAACCTTGTCTCAGAGAAGGACTCTGTCTAGGATTTACAGACATCTTGTGGCACAGAGGGAAGCAAAAGCAAGTTGGGACATCATGAAATTCCCATTATGTTCTGTGTATGCTCAGATCATCCATAAGTACATATGCAATACACCTGACTCATCCCCAAATCCTGGATGTGAGTATAGGAGCCCCAGGGGGAGATTATGCCAACAGTGCAATAAGCAACATGACTAACATCTATCATATGTAGTTTGTTTTCTCATCTTTTTTTTTTTCCAAGGGAAAGACGGCATGTCTTGGCAGGTACTATTAGTACTCCCTTTGTATCCAAGAACACAAGCTCTAGGAATTGCATCTAGCACAGGAAGCAGAAGATGGTGATGTTTGTGACAGCCATAAGGCCCTGAGGGAATTAATTACTTACTTTGGGACGTGGCCTGTCCCCTGCCCACACAAGCTGCACTGTCATTTTGCAGAATCCCATTTACCCAAGGGACACGGCTGCCAGCGAAGTGCTTGGTCTGAAGGTCCAGAAGATGGGGTATGCCCAATCCAGCCTTGAGCTGTTACACTCAAAATTTGCTTTGAGAAGAGAAATAAAGAGAAGAAAATTCAGAATGATATTCAGTCTAACTGCATCAAGCTGTGTGAAGGTAAAGAGATTAAATGAATACACCAAGCCCAAGACAAATTGGTGACAGTAGGCTGAAAATGCCATCTCAGGGGACAGTCCACCCCTCTGTGACTTTCATCCAACACCAAGCCAGTGATACAATTTTTAATAATTCTCAGCAAAAGCAATCTATACTTTCTCAAATAGATTGACGTATCCAAACACTAAGTCATTGTGCTGATGGGAAAAGCAAAACCCTCATTCTGGATGGAAAAGGAAAGAAATCACACATTTAGTTTTACCAAGTTATGTTCAGTGACAGCACCAGTGTTGACAGTTCTGGCCATTAGGTCTTACAATATTCCCTGTTTTCCTGAAAACAGGAAATTGTGTGTAGCTCATGAAAAATGAATGCCCTGAATTTCCAGCCTTAATGGTTGCAAAGAAGAGCTTGAAGACCTGAAATGGGTGTGCCTCACAGCCTTAGAAAACCCAAAGGCAAGCTGAAAATATGCATTTTATTGTTTTTGAGCATCCTCGTGATTTTAAGTCATGCATGACTTTTCTTGGAAGCCTGACTCACAGCTTTTATGGGGCTGCAGTGTCCCATGAAGAATGAATTGTAAGAGCTGTACCCAGTTAACAGGTATGGGGCAACCAAGCAAACATGAAGTGTTTTGTATCTGCCAGCAAGTTTTGTTTAATGCTGGTAAACACGAGGAGCCCGATACTCCTGGTGTTTTATGGGAGCAGATAAAGCTGATGAGGAGTGAGGGGAGGACAGATTCCTGCCTACCTCAAAAATAGGTGAAAGTTGATCCCAAGGAAAAAAAATGAACTGAATCTAACTGCTACCGCTGCGCTAATGGATGGTTGGGAAGCCAGCGAGGGAAGGCATGTGTTTATATCGCACAGCTGGTAATAAGGGATTCTTGTTCTTGCCCTGATTCTGCCACTGACTCATCCAGCAGGGTTAGGCCTACTTCAGTTCCCACTTCAGAGCAGATTAGACTTAACCTTAGACCCAGCTGCTGTCACATTTACTCATGTTGAGTAACACTTTCTTCTCCAGTGACACTATTTGTAAAGGAAGAAACTCTGTAGTTCACAGAAGGTGAATGACTGAGCCCCCCGTGGAGACTGAGAAGATGAGAAGCGTCCTCTGCACAGAGGTGCCCTAAGGCTTGGCTGATTAGGTCTATGCCCGATACATCTCTTAACTAGATGTAGATAATCAGGATCAGTTACTGGTCTTATTCTCTCCAGGCTTTCCTTTAGGAACAAAGGAGCAGGAACTGAGGAAAATTTGGGAGTTGAGACTTGCTCAGTTGTCAGGCCCACCTGAGTAGCTGGCAAGTGATGGAGAACCACCTAGCCCCTCTTCCATGCTTAATTCTGAATCAGCAACGGAGAGGGTGAAGAATTCACGGTACCTTTATGGAGATGCTTTATGAAGTTTTGCACTAAAGTCTAAGACACTTTGCTCCAGAACTGAGCTGAGTTTTGCAGCCCAATATAAACCACATTTGTAGAAGTTCTGCCAGCCTTGAGCACATACAGCATACCAACACCCAAACTTGTCAGTAATCACTGACAGTGGTATCCAGTAAATCCTTCCAGGGAGGTTTTTTTAATGTCACACAAACATTGGATTGAAAAATAAAGTCTAAACATTCAACAAGTTGCATAGATTCCCAGAAATCATTTGTTCAGGAAGTTATCTGGGTAATACCAATGAGTATTATCAACATTAACATATATATCAGATATGCTAATTAGATGACATATCTGCTGTTGTCAACGCCAGCACTGTGCCATGCCTCCATCTGCCCTTGGATACATACTTTGTAGAATGGCTGCAGATGTGTTAATAAGCACTAGTTTAAAAACTAAGTCTCATAGAAACTAACTCTGTTATATTTAAACAACATATCCACAATAATACAAATGAACTTTTCTCTTGATATCACCTCAGATTTCAAACAAACTACATGTAAAATGAATTCAGACCTGTGCCTCATTTGCACTCTTATGGAGGCCCTTATATTTTTACTTCGGGTTTGAAACATTCTACATCATCTTCCTTTGCTCAGTGAACTCAAAACATCGCTTTGCTATGCTTTCCAATTTGTAAATTACCTAGTTCACATTTACTATCATCAGTCCGGTACACAAAAATCAGGATAAGCAGCTAAAGATCATCCAGTCTTAAACACACATTTCAGAATTTATAGCCATTGTAAAACCCTCGCCTTTATCCTTACTGGCTCAGGAACTTCCTGTCCCCTGTTTATTACACATCCATAACTTACAGCAACATAAACACACATCATTGTTTTTCCTGATGCTTTTGCCATCCTGCTATTTTATGAGCTAGTCAGCTGGTCTATGAACACATGCACCAGGTAGTGCATCTTGACGAAGGAACTGGATCATTGCCAGCTCAAACAGGCAGGCTATTATTATGGCTAATACGCTAGAAGTGTTTGCAATGCGTTTTTAAATAATCCTCTACATTTGTATTACACCATTCATCCTGAAGAGAACCAAGGTGCTGTGGAGGCTGATAATTGCTCCTTTTCTCATTGCTAAAATGTACCTGCTGCTAAGCTGGAGAAATAGTGACCATCCTGCACAAACAGCATTAGCAAGTGCAGGAGGTAATGAAGCAAACAATAACACTGCCATTTGAAATTGCAAGCTAATTACTTGATTTGGAATTTGATGAGCACATAAGAGCTGATATGCTGCTGCTTGTAAAAATATGTCCCAAAGTATTTTGGGGTTGTTTCATCACTTGTGTGTGATGGCACTTCAGCATTAGGTTCTCCATCATCACACTCAGCACACTCATTTCCAACTGAGCTCAGGGACAGGACTGTGACTTGAGCACCGAAAGCTTTATTTCTAGCAGCACATGTGCTGCTAGCACATTTCTCTGAAGTATTTCCTAAGCAGTCCAGTGACTCGTGAAGCCCAGCTCCCCTCTGCTGAACACTTGAGCATACACAGCTTTATTCACTGCAGTCCAAACACAATACACGTGGGAAGGTACATGACAGGCAGCTTTCAGCCAGGGATGTGTAGGAGCTTTGCTGATGTCTGAGTTGTAACACAATTAATACCACACTATTTAACAGACAGTGAGCCTTTTCTAGATATGGTAGGAGGATATTCATCATTCTACTGGACTCAGAGATGCATCATTAGTGCATTAGTGCATAGTCCACAGTCTGCTCTGACTTCTGCTTTGGGGCTGGCTCTGCCACAAATACCTGAAGAATAGGAAATTCAGTTGAATATGGGGAAGGTAAGAAAGTCTTCTATTATGTCTTCTTTAATAACTCAATGTGTTGCTATATATAATAACAGAAGGAATTAGTTATTATCTGAAACAGACAATATGATATGGACAGTCTGTCAGGAACTATCTGCTGTGTAACCTATTATTATCTGAATGGAACTGTACCACAAGGGAAGGTAACTGATCAGACTTCACCTTTAAAAATTTTTTCCAAAAGCAGATGGGAAGTACCAAAACTGCATACACCAAAGCTGAAATCTCACTTAAAGGGAGGACATGAGAAAAATTCACTATAGAAGTAGCAGTTTGTGTCCAAATTTAACCTGATGCCAAATTCTTTGCAAATTATTTGAAGCCAGGAGCCCAACTCAGTCAAGAGTTGCCCAACTGGACTTTTGAGACCTAAGGCCAGAAAGGTGCACTCCTAGCAGCAGGATACAAGCTGGACTCATAGTACAGGCTTTGCATCCATCACAATAAGCACTGATGTCTCAAGTCATCTTTATTCTAATACCAGTCTCCTCCCCTCACAGTACAGGGAACTGAGGTACCCACATTGCAGCGCTGTATTTTCTCTCCAGCTCCCATGCATCAAACATAATATGTCAAGCAAACAGTTTCAGATGGTGCTTGTTTTCCATGCTTAACTGAAATCATTAGGCAAATTATTTAGCAGGGTGCACAGGGATGTAGCAGTAGGATTCCCATTAATATGACCAGACATACATGACTAAATTGCTGCACTAAAATGTTCCTGCACAGCATTGCCTTAATAATCTTTTTAACAGTTTGTTCTGTCTATCCAGAGATGCTGTAGACAAACTGAAAGTAAAGCATCCCAGATTTTAAGCACTCAAAAGTCAATATTCCCTTTCTTCAGGTTCCTCAAGCCAGAAGAATCCCTTGATGTTGCATGACAAAAGCACAATTTACCAAATTAAAAGCACTGTGATAGCTGAAGCCACTTGCTATTGATCAGTCCTTTGTAGGCTGGTAACTCAGCTGCTTTCTGGAAATAAATTTCTACAAATTCCTTTGGAGTCAACACTGCCTGATGCAATCATTTATGCAAAATCACAAGGGACAGCCTGTCCTAATTCAGCATTCTTCCCAATTTAAATATGCCAGAAGGTACCAAAATCCCAAACTTTAATAAAGGGGAGGATGAGGAAGAGAGGCATCAGCATTAGTTTGTGCAACATTAATGATGACAAGATATCTTGTCACCATATCCTAATTCAAAAAGTACAGGGACATATAGGAACATGGTCAGAAAGACACCACCAGTGAAGGTGTTTAGCTCAAACAGTGAACTTCTTAACTACCATTTGGTTGTTTAACCACTGAACCCACTGCAAAACATACCAATGGCACAGAACAAACTTTCACTGAATATTATACAAGTGCCTCAGGGAAGAGAGATGGTTTACAACATTACTGCACCACCATTCAGACAGCTCCAGTCACACACAAGAATCGCCTACTGAAAGCTCTGATGGATGAGTGGGATTGATTTACAGTAAGGCAGCAAGAGAGGTTTGCCTCTGCCATAAGGATGGCTCAGCTCTCCACTGCATTGCTATAAACTGCGACCCAGGGCATTAAGGACAAGTGAAATTGGTGTTTGTCCACCTTGACCTGCTGAGTTCCAGGTTGCAGCAGTTCAGATCCTGCTTGATGAATAGCCAAGCTGTCTTTGCAGGAGGGACCGGGCAGGAGGAGTGGAAGGTGGGAGGGAATGACTTCTAGGAGAAGGAACCGCAGCAGTTGTTGGAAGGCAAGTCATCAGCATGTGTGAATCAGAGCACCCGTTCTGTATTGTTAGATCTCTGCAAAACTATTAAAGGGAATGAAGGGATAAAGCTGTAAGAATTCTTCCAGCTTGCACAGCCTGTCTTAGCCCAGAGTTATGAGCTGCACACAAGAAGGAACTAACTGAAATTCTATGGTTTGTGTTACCAAAGAGGGTAGACTATAGATGATCTCATTCAAATAGCCCTACATTTATCAAAAGGAAGTAACCTATTCTGATCTTACCCACATCTATTTGCAACCTGGCTAGTATTTACACAAATATAAACCACTACCAAGTCATGAATGCAACACCTACCTGAGGAAACTACACAGTCTATAGGGCAACCAGCCTAGACCATAACCCCTTTTCATGGCTGGCAGCTAAGAAACAGGTATTATATTTTTGCTTGTAAATTGAGCACATTTTGTCTGGACTCAGAACCAATAATCCTGCAGCTTGGAAGTGACACTTTTACTGAGTCACTTTTCACAGCAGAACACCACTGCCAGTGTATTATTGGGGTTGTAAATGTTTGTTTCAGCATCTTATCTTGTCAGTAATCACCAGCAATCAAGGAATATGTTTGCTAAAACTAAGCCCTACTGCAGTGTGAGCTTCTAGACCACACTTGTTATCCAGTCCTGCTTCCTCAGAAGATGACAGAAGTGTTCATAACTCCTTAGAAATGAGACGGTAGCTTTACAGGTTGGATCCTACAGCTGTATGCAACCTCCCTCCACGCAGGAGGATGTGCCATCAGTAAAACTCACGTATGTGTATGTGATGCTGCAGGGCTTTAGACCCCCAGAAAGGAAGAAGAGGACTGGATTGCATGCATGTTTTAAGATTAAAAACAATGTCTCAAAGAGACATAAGAGTGAGAGCCCCAGTGCACCTAAAATGCCTCCTAATTTCACAAAAGCCCATGGTTAACAGTGTTATTTGGCAAGGAATTGCTACAATAAAACCCCATTTATTTTCTTTGTTGGGTATCCAGCAGGAAACCAGAAACAGAAAACCCGACTACATCATGCCTTTACCTTCTAAGGGAGATTGGTTTTCCATTAGATTACAAGTTAATTAACTATAAATATACTGTTATTACAATTATTTCCAATTTTTCATTTGCAAAACATTACACACTGACAAAACTACTGCTTCATTTTAAAAGGAGATTTTTTTATCCTTTTATGAAATCTATAATTTTAAGCTGTTTTGGAGAGCTACACAACAAATTAATTTAGTACGCTAAACACCAACATATCTGACTTTGACTGAATAGGAATCCACTCACAAATTGACTGTCTAGAAAAAGTGATTAGCAAATAAAGGACAAAGTATAAAAGAAATGTTGTTCTACATCAATTTCTAGATTATACCAAATTAGCTTCTAAGTGGTTAAAAAGGAAAAATGCTTTCAGGAACAAGTACCTCAGATCAAAGATCAATGCAGAAGAAAACAAATTGCCTCAGAGTGTGGTAACACACCTTAGTAGAATAATTTTACAGCTAGCAAAGCATACTGTGAAAGAGAAATGACTGGAAGAGATAAACTTGATAAAGCTGTTTTTCAAATTGCCTCACAAGCACTCAGGCTTCAGTGACTTAACCAAAACATATGTCCAAAGAATTACAAGATCTACACCTTTGGCATCTCTAAGGCAGATCTATCTACTAGCCACAGTGCCACATGAGAGAAAAATGGGATCCAAGAGACATACACACACACATACGTATATGTCAATGAGAAAGCCAGCATCTCACCCTATAACATGCTACATTAGGCTATGTATTAAAACTAGCACCTAGGCCTGACTGAGATCAAGGTCCCAGTGTGCTAACTGCTGTACAAATAAACAGCTCCACTGACTGCCAACAAAGGAGAGAAGAAAACAAATATTAGGGCTCTGACTCACACACAGATGGTAAATGACTGGAGTTACGTGCCTTTGAGTCAGCTCTTACCTGCTTCAGCTCCGTTTGGCTTGTGGCCACAGAGTTACTGTCATCAACAGCCTAGACTAAGACATCCCAGCATACCACAGACCAGCTGAGACACACACATCAACTCCCCTTAACATACTTCCTTGGGAAGACTGCTAAATATAGGCAAAACTAATTACACCTGAGTGTAATTCTCTAATTTCCTCTATTTTAGAAGTGAGGAACTGAGTCAAAGGGAGACCAGGAGTTTTCTCAAGGTTATAGAGGAAATCTGTGGTAGAAGTAAAAAACCAAGTCATATTTGCAGAATCAGCAAATCCTCTGGAGAAGCCCATCCAATAGATGGGAAAATCAAAGCTCACTGAGCTGAAGGGGACTGCCAGGCCATAGGAACACCAAGTTTTATACTGCATATAAGAACTCTAAATTTTGTGGCTTGCCACCTTTTGTAGAGAGCACTGGTCCCTGCCAATACACTCAGCTAATGACTGAGTTGTGCTCATGTGACAACTCTGAATGCCCTGTAGGCAGCCAGAAAAATGAGCTCCCTCTGGAACTGCAGTGGCTGTTTGTTAGCTCAGGAATATAAAGGAGGGTGTAAAGCAAAGTAATTACATTTGATGGGGGCTTTTTGGGTCTGGGCTCTAAGTTGCAAAATACATTGGGAATGGCTGTTTATTGCCAAGCCTCCAAAAGGAAATTAAGGGCAAAGGAGAAACAAGGATGTTGCTATTATTTATGTTGCTTGAGAACTGGCCATTGGAAATGTGTTTCTCATTGAATGATTAACAGCTATCCAGCACAAAGAGCAAATAAAAACCTTGTCTAACTTGGTCAATCCCCTTCTCTCTGGTCTTGCTTCATTAAATCATGCAAAACATGCAAAATCGTGTTTCATGCATGTTCAAAAACATGCATTAAATCATGCAAAACATAAAATCATGTTTCAAACTCAGGAATAATTAAGAAAACATATGAGATCTTTAACTAAAGTTCTTTTCTCTTGAAAATCAATAACTTTAGGCTTCATTTAGTTCCCTGTAGATAGGTTCATATCCCTGCACAGACGAAGTTACCAAAATCAATAGAACTTTGCTGAGGCACAGGGGGTCAGTCTGTGCAGAGCTCCTCTGACTTCATGCGTAAAGCACTTGATGCTGGGTCCAAGCTTCCATCTGCATTTGGGTTTAGAAAAGTTTCTCAGCTCTAGAATACACTATGAAAGCCCTTGATTAAGTCATTATGATGCATAATTCCCTGGCATGCCAAGAATCTAGTCCCAAATTGATACAAAGGCAAGTCTGCCAACGGTGAATGAGTATTCTGGGGTTTCATTGTGAAAACTCAAAATTACACACACTGAAGTGCTGGTATGTAGTTTGCTTGCTGTTGCTACCGATAGCCATGAAAATGCCTCAAATTAAATATAATCATCCTCACTGTTGCCTAATGATAGACCATCATGGTCCCACTCCTGCTGTTTTGTGAAGCCAGGGGGGTTTGTGTTGGTTCAGCATTTCTCCCCATGCGCAGTGAGCTGGGGCAGAAGACTCCTCCTGGCTTTAATGGGTGAAACACCCAGCACAAGAGAATCCCTGCTCCCGACTGGGGCATTTAGGTGTTGCTTTATTGCCTGTAACTGTTGGCACAAATAAGTAAACACTTTGCACTGAGATCATTTGAAAGGGTCTAAAAGAATTCAGCCTTCTGAAAGACAGAGCATTTTAGGGCCTTAGCAGGCATCAGTATTAGCATCATTACTACAACACTTACAGGCTTGATTCCCTAGATAAACCAGGGCTTTATACACAGCCATAGTAATTAAGTGATGCGCAAATGCAATTCAAAGCACAGAGTACTATAAAGGTATATGATTAAAAAATGAGCTCAAAAGCGAGTTTCCTTCTGATTTGGATAACGAGTCATGGTAGCATCAGCTTCCTTCACACCTCTTTAATGGGACGTTATTTCACTTAGAAAGATTGAGGGGCTAGTATTAAATGTTCAGACAGCACAGTGATGAATGTGGTATAAATACCTGGGGAGACAGATGAGTTGGCTATTTCTGCTCACAGCCTTCTCCTAAGAGCACAGAAATGCCACCTCAGTGTGCTTTTTCGAAGGATCAAAAAATCATAATAAACACAAGGATAAAAATATACAGCTAATTTCGTGCTGTAATTTGCCGCAATTTACACGTGATCATTGTGGGTTTGAAAATACTGCACTGTGCCAACATGAGTGACTGCTGAAATGGGGTAAATCAGAAGGATGAGAAATGCAGTTTGGATTACAAGTAACCCCTCCAGAAGGATCGCTGGGGATATTACCTTCACCAGTTCTTCCTTGCAGTTGACTTGACTTATGCAGATTTTATTCAACCACAAGCAATACAAATTCTTAGGTGGATGAACGAGTTTCATAGCAACTGCTTTTAGACTTCAGAAAAGTCCTACCAAATGGCACTGCAGTCTTTGTCTTCCTCATGTGTTAGATGCAGGGCTATTTGTTTGTTTGTTTTAATACAGGCTGTAAACAGTAGGCGCTAGCATCACATTTTGATGCAAACAAACATTACATTTGAGAAGGTAATAAAATTTTAGCAAAATTACTGAATTAAGGTTCAGAAATGTGGTTTAATATACATATTTATTTGCAGCTACTCTGATCTGGTGAGACCCCCCCCTACAGTACTGTGTTCAGCTCTGGAGTCCTCAGCACAGGAAAGACACGTACCTGTCAGAGCAGGTCCAGAGGAGGGACACAGAAATGATCAGAGAATGGAATACCTCTCCTGTAAGAAAAGCTGAGAGAGTTGGGGTTGTTCGGCCTGGAGAAGAGAAGGCTTCAGGGAGACCTTTCAGTTCTTAAAAGGGGCCTGTAAGAAAGATGAGGAGACTTTTTAGCAGAGCCTGCTGCAATAGGATGAGGAGTGATGGTTTTAAACGAAGAGGGGAGATTCAAGATGGATGTGAGGAAGAAATTGTTTACAGTGAGGGTGGTGAAACACTGGCACAGGTCACCCAGAGAGGTGGGAGATGTGACATACCTGGAGACATTCAAGACCTGGCTGGATGTGGTTCTGGGCAACGTGATCTAGAATCATAGAATAGAATCATAGAATAGTTAGGGTTGGAAAGGACCTTAAGATCACCTAGTTCCAATCCCCCTGCCATGGGCAGGGACACCTCACACTAAACCATCTCACTCAAGGCTTCGTCCAACCTAGTTTGTCCATCTAGTTGAAGATGTCCCTGCTCATTGAAGAGGGTTGGATTAGATGAGCTTTGAAGGTGCCTTCCAACCCAAGCTGTTCTATGATTCTATGAAAATTACTGAAATCACATTACACATTAATTTCCTTAAGCGGAATTTCTATTCAAAGATCTGGGTTTATTATAAAAGAGGAAAACATCTGTATACATTTATATTTTTGTCCTTTTTTAATAACTCTAAATAACTCAAAACAATTTGAAAAGGGAATAAAAACAAATGTGCCCCCAGATGGGAACCCTGCACATAAAACAAAAGATGAGTTATGAACCTTCATGAAGAGTGTTTTATAGTAGAAATACTAGTGTTGTTATAACCCTTTTTTATAGGGTAATCAACAGAGAGGATATCGTAAAAAAGAGGGTAAAATGATTTATTAAAAGAATACATTATCTTCTAAAGGAAAGAATCTGTGAATCACTAGCACTTGACCCAGTGCAAAGGTTTCTAGTAGTAACAGGAGCAGATGTAGGCTTGATTTAAATGAGGGGGGAGCACAGAAGCAAGCTCGCTCCTAGGAGGGTTAATGTAGATGTCTGCAAACCTCTAAGGCATCCAGGTAAACAGTACCTGCTGAAGTGAGCTTGAATTCTGACGTGATTTATTTTAAACCCATGACATACAGAAGCTTCACTGGAAAAATCAAATAGCAAAGAATTTAAAAGAATAACCAACTTTAAATTGTTGGTAGCCCTACTGAATAGCTGCAGGTTTTTCTGAAGGCACCTAAAGGAACTGGGCATCTATATTCCATTCATGCTGAGTGGAAACTTGTTACCTGAATCTTGAGAATATTTTGAAACTCGCATCCAGTGGGACTCTCTATATGCTAAGTCAGGCTCAGATGTTAGTGAAATGCTGTCTCACCACGTATCACCACCTTTTAAAGTAGCTTTAAAACACCGGTGCAGCCGATGCTAAATGCCTGTCTCTCCTGATGGCATTATGCCTTTGGAAGATGCAGATCTGAACCAAAGCTGCAGATCAATGTAAAAATGGACTTTGTACGTGTTAGCATTGTGCGTGCCATAGCAGAATGAACCAACAGTGAAGACCACCCTTGACTTGTGGCTGTTAGGGAGACACATAGTTTTGGTTATCATATGGAGACATCATCTCCTGACTTCTTATTTCATGAATACTCCCAAGCAGACCTTTTTGGTTTTTTCCTCCTGGAATCAAGCATTTTCAGCAATGAAACTGGCTTCAGCAGACAGTGTTTCTGCTTAGCAAGAAAATCCTGCTACCAAGACTTTACTTGTTCATGCTCCATTGCCTGGGAAGTTCAGGAAGCCTTGTGTTTCTGTGGCTCACTGCTGACAGGTATGACTATTGGTCCAAATTCTCCTAATCCCAGATAAACACTTGGAAAGGCTTGTAAGAATGTAGAACATGTGTGGAACACACAAGCATATGATGATATATGGCACATGCATAGTGGGCCGGTGTGTCTGGCTGCTCCCTTGACTCATGATGATAAGAGGAGCTGGGATCCAGAAGCTGACAGGTTCTGAGTTGTGATGAGTTATCAGAGGAAGTGAGAAGGCAGCAGCTGAACCCTGAGTAACACAACCTGACTGGCCCCTTCCTGTGCTCCCCTTATGTCACTGGAGTGCTACAGAGGAGTCATAATGGCCTCTCAGATAATTCTTCTCACGCTTGAGACAATAGAGTGTGCATCTTCATATGATCTGTCTTCCCAGACTTTGCTGCATGGTATTTCTGGGAGCAGAAAATTGCTTATGCCATATTGTTCAGCCCTCATTCTGGACTGCACCCCAGCTCAGTGCTAAGATGGAATAGCTATTTGCTTTTGTTTACAATGGGGACCACTTTTGCTCTCCTATTAGCCCAGAATATCTCAATTGGCCCAGATGATGCAAAACCAGCTACATCCTCCTATCCCTGGAGCTTGTCTTCTGTGCATGTGAGACACACAGAATATTAGATGCTCTAATTGTCTGTTTCAGTTGCCAGAATTTGAGATCCAGGATCCTGCTATTCAGCCTACATCCTATAAACAGTAGGAGATGGACTGAAGTGATTTAGAATGAACTGCTCATAAAACTTCTTAAGGAGAAACCTTTCTTCATAAGAAGGAAACCTTTCTTCAAGAAGGAAAACTTTTCATTGGAAACCTTTGGACAGAGGCTTGTGCTTCCCAGCTGACAGAATTAGCTGGGAAACAACGTATCATGTACTAATTAGATTATTACCGGGAATGAATCTCAATCCTGCTGTATTTTAGTTCTTTGCTGCATACAGAACCCCAAAGCACAGACTTGAACTTGTATTGGAGGTAACGGGTTTCTCTGCGTGCATCCGGGCTGGCTGCGGCTAGGTGGCAGCACTCCACTGGGCAACCAAGCCTCTGAATTCAGTACCAACCAACCATCCCAGCTCACAGAAAAGCTAGCTTGCATATTCCGATTTATAGGAAAATAGAGGGTAAATAAAAGTCAACAAAGCCTTCAGAAGCCTTGTATCAGGACATCTGGGAAGCTATAAGTGAACTGCGCCGTTCTTTTGCAATGAAATCCAAACAAACCACACAAAAATCATCCTGGTTTGGACGTCAAAAAGGGAAGAAAAGCAGAAAAAAATCTGTGATGATTTTCTCAAGGCCTCAGACTGCTCCTCCAGACAAGGCTCACAATGCCCACACTCACCTGGAACTGGAACAACTCTGGCAAGGGAGAACCAATAGTTCAACAAAGCTTTTGTCATTTTGGCTTAGTTTTGCCTCAGACATGATGAGATGACACTGTCTCTCACAAGTCAATTTTATGAGGATCTGTCAACTGAGTTCCCATCTGTTCTGGAAAATAAGCTTTTTCAGGTTAGGGTATGATGCAGAATCAAATTCACAAAGCACAGATTTAAATTTAAAGCATTGGAAGCCCCTTGCTATTGCCAGGTAGTTAGGGGAGGGTTTGAATTTGAGCTTCTATGTCAAGCTGGTTTCTGTTTCAAACCTTTTATTAGCACTTATCATTTATAAAAGACAAAGTGTATGCAGGAAAGAAGAAAATAGGGAAAAAGCAATACAGTGTATGAGACTGCAGTATATGCAGCACTGGGGAGATAGAGCAGGTAGAAAGATAAGTAGAGATTCATTATGTTGAAGGTATTCACTTACAGCTACAAAACACAAATAAACTCTGGTAAAAGAAAGGAAAGCACTCCCTAATACAGAAAATGAGCATCAGAGCGTTACAGTGGCACAATACAGGGAAAAGATTCTAAAGGCCATTTCTTACAGTGCTCAGAGTTGACCATTAGACCTTGGGAAGACTGGGCTACACACTCTGGTCCAAGTCTTTATGTGAGTATTTAGATAAATAAACTGCCACTGCTACTCATAGAATCATAAAATACCAGATTGGAGTGGATCCCAAAGATCATCTGTTCCAAAGTTTACATACCTCTAAACCTCAGCATACAACACTTGGAATTGCACCCTCCACTACATGCTATTGAAAAGCAAATGTGCCTGACATTGAAGGAGACAGACCTGGGGCAACTTCAACAGCCACATACTGAGCTCTGGTCACCAGTGTCACAGCTTGCTGCTAGAGATGTCTGCTCAGAGCTGCCACCCCCTTCTGGGAGCTGAGCACTGAGCTTCACCTTACAGAGATCAAGAGACTGACAGCATTTGCACCAAGATTGCCAAGGTATTAACACTGATTTCTTTCAATAATGGTGATGTATTCATAGGCTTATTTCATCACCCTTCCCAGAATCCAAAATGCTCCACTAATGAAGAAATACCTGCTTCTGCCTGTGCTTTACCTCAGCTGATTGTGAAAAAAGCAAAACTTGTCTCCTTAGGTACTGTTCACTGTTCTCATATTCAACTATTATATTCACAAAGAATAAAAAAGTTTTTCATTAATCAATTATTAGGTCAGGCATGATCTGTAACTTCACAGGCTGTGCTACACAGAAAAAGGATGCTTGTGATTTCTTTCCTCAGGTAACTTTCTCAGCTGTTTGCAGCAGGCATTTGACAGGAGGGAAGTGGTCTGGGTAGAGGGTCTGGGTAGAGCAATGCCTTCCCTCTGCCCTAGAAATTTCAGCCCAGATTTAGCAGAGCTGGGAAGAGTTAAAGACTATCACATCCTTTTTTTATTTTTTCATTTGCATTCCCCATAAAACGTTGGCAGTTTGCTGAAATCACTGAACATAACAAAGGCAAAGCCAGCCTCAGCTCTGCCAAAGCAGCAGCTGCAGGTGTTGGATAGAGGACACCTCTGAACTCTGAAAACGAGCTTGGGAAGAATGTGCATGTGTATGTAGGAGAGCCCATTCCCAGTCTTAGCATCACATTCTCTCCTGAAGATACCATCTAAGATGAGTTTTTCCAGCTCACACTGCCCTCATAAACCCAAAGGTGAACACAGCATCAAGCAACCTCTTTGCTTCCAAGAGAAAGCAAAGGAAGCAATTTCCAGCATCGTTGAAGTGACTGATGTCTATGCTATGCTGGTGATAGCTTGAGGTTTCAAACCCCACTGTGGATGGAAGACTACTGTGTCATTGAGTCTCACCACACACTGAAAAAACCCTGAGAAGGAACTGGAAACTACCCTGGTCTGCTCAAGGGTTTTCTGCAAAACTGTGATGTTAGAGCAGCAGCATACCCTTTTGGGGCGGGGGGGGGCTGGCTAGGGTTAACACTATACTGCATATCAGCAAGCATATCAGCTTGCTCTAAGCAGCCCTTCACAGTGGGTTGAGGTCCTCTACAGATGCATCCTGACCCTTTAGCAACATCAGGTTGCCTCAGGAGAAATCTGTAAGGAAAAAGTGGACTAGATACCCCTGCCCCTTCCCCCAAAAATAACTGCTTGAAAATGTTAATAGAAGAGCAGTTGTTGTAGGTATCATACTTGTTACCTGACAAGAAAGATTCAAATAGTATCACATATCACTACCTTGGCCCCGTATTTTCCAGCCCATGTTCTGACAAGCTGACTGCATTAGCATTGTCCTTCATAACTGTTTTTTACAGCAGAACTCCCCGGGGTGGGGGGGTAATCTTCGAAGCTACCCATTCAAAATCTTGAAAAGTACTCACTGAGAAAGTGTGGGAAAGTCTGGAACAGGAGATAATGCTATAAAGCTGGCTTTCCGCTTTTTTCCATCCATATTTGTATCACTTTTTGCAGTTATGTAAAGCTCCCTGAATGCTGAAGAAAGTTTATCCGTTCTTCCACGCTATTGGAAATATCCACCGGTATCTTCAAAAAGTTGTGAACCAGAAATAACCCGCTGAACTGCAATACAGATTGCAGCTTTAACCCCTGGCAAGGAAGAGATTAGGGTAAGAGAAGATGGGGGGGCTGCATGCTCCTACAGCATACACTTTTTAAGTAGGTTTTTTCAAGCCAAATGGCAAACCTTTGCTAACATACACCATTCTCAGAATTTTGTAAGCTAAATGCCAAACTTTTGCTAATGTTACATAGCAAAAGTCCCTAGGAAATTCCAATTTATACTGCTAAAGAATATGGTAAAAGCCGATCTATTTAGAGAACTAATAAATCTCTCAGGAAGACATGTTTCTCCCCTTGAGCACACACTTTTTCTTTCATTTCCGCTGTGACATATTCCACAACCCACGCTACTGTTAAGTCAAATAAAAACTCCATGAAAACCACACGATACAAAGCTGTGTGCATGTCTTGTGGATGCTCATTACTGACCCTGATCAAGACTGGTGCACTGCTCTCTGCATTTCTTTCTAAATGGAAACTGCTGACTTCTACTACGTTTATTACTTAGCTCAAGATTACCTGCAATATGTGCTTCAGGAGTCACATCTTGGACCAGCCCAAACCAGAGTTGCTCATGTCTTGCGAAACATTGCATCTTCACTGCAAGATCAAACCGAGGAGGCTCTCAGACCGTTCCTGGACAGAATTGACATTACCTCTGTAGCTGTTGCCAAGAGAATTTTCAACGGTGTCATGGAAGAAAAATTTGCTGATGGAAATACTAACTGGGGACGAATTATGACTATATTTACATTTGGAGGTCTTCTCACCAAGAAGCTTCAAGAGCATGGAGTTCAGCTCACTGGAGAGGAAAAGGAACAGATTTCTTATTTCATCACAGAGTACATAATAAACAATAAAGCCGAATGGATAGATGCAAACGGTGGCTGGGTAGGTTTCTCATTTTCCATCAGAATCTGTATTAGGAGATTTTGTTTCATTAAGTGAAACTATTGTTACAGACATCATCAAAACCATTTTAAGGTTTTATTTAGTGGCTTTAACATATGATGACTGGAATGTCTTCCTGAGACATACAGTGAAAGTTTTGCTTCTGCTTTAAACAGAACAATGCTAAAAGGCAACTTTCTTTTTAAAATGGCACTTTCTGTATCTGTTACAGCAAAATCCTAGTTAGCCTTGACTCATAGGATCCTATGGTAACTCAGGTTGAAAGGGACCTTAGGAAATCATCTGATCCAGCCTCCTGCTCAAAGCAGGCTAATGCCTGCCTGGCATGAAAATTTCCATTACTAAATCTAAACTTAAGTAAGTGGTACCCTAAGGTTAGTGCAGCAACTCTTCTTCCATAGAGGAGTTGGTCCAAAAATACTGGAGTTCAAGATAAGGGAAGAATACATATGTGATCCTGAAAGGTGAACTCAGTACTTTTGTAAAGCTGTTATATAATCCCCAATCAATTTTCCTTACACAAATTTACAGGTAAGTGCAATCCAGGTTAAATCTTTTCTGTCTGGACTGAGATAATCCCACATCTTCCATTTACCAACAGTTAGTGCTGAGGAAAGCATTTGTCAATATGTGGATTATTTTGCCAAGCTGCTGAAATTCCCTTCTGGCAGTGGAGGGGAGGTCCCTTTTGCTTTGCTGAGTTTCATCACGCCAATATTTTGGTTTCATTTGAAGTTAGGGGAAGCTGAGAATCAGTGGCATCATTTGTCAGTTATTTCCCTGGTACTTTTTTCCTTTCTCTATATGTAAATGTTACTTTCTCTTTCCACCCCCTCTCGTCCCACTTCTCTTTCAATTCCTATGTCTTACTACTTTTCCCCTCATTTATTTTCTAGTGTCTTGCTTTTCCGTTTTTCTTTTTGCTTGTTTTGACCCTTCTCTGTCTGGTAGCAGTAAAAAAAAAAAACGTGATAGTGGACCCCTGATGCATCAGATTTACTGTAAAGGCTTCTCTCTGCGTCTCTTTGAAATAGAGTCAATTTTATTTAAGAAAAGTATCAGCTCCTGGAAACTTTCCATAATATTCTACTGTCTCATCACAGTAGAATAAGGAGTCTTAAAGGAAGATACTTACTAGTATATTACTACATCAGAAACACAGTACTTGTATCTTCCTTGAAGATGTGGGACTAGATGATGCAGTTCACATTCATTTTCTATTTACACAGGCAGGGCACAGTCTTGACTTGGAAATCAAACATTCAGCAAGGTGCAGCTATTTTCAGCTACTGTTTTTAAAGCCCTCTTCATCTTTTGGAGGTAGAGCTCTGAAAACCTGTCCCTCCATGCAGAATGGTGTTGCACTCTGTGCACCCGGTATCAGTAGAGTGGTGTGTTTTTCCTAGCTTAATGTTATTGTTAAGCTATCTCTAAGTCTGCATGTTCCTTTCCATAGGAAAATGGCTTCCTAATGAAGTTTGAAAGAAGATCACGACTGTCTTTCACCAAAATAACAGCCATGTTCATAGCTGTTTTTACCTTGTTCAGAGAGTACTACTGAAACAAATGGACCTGCCAGTCATGTGTAATCTAGATATTGCCACAAGCTTCATTGCTAAGCTTTCCTCCAAGCAATATCATTTTCTGCCCTACTTTTTTTAACTTATTTGTATATATTTTGAATAAATACAATGTTTAACATGCTATCCTAATTGCCAAACCTGAGGATGAGATCCTTCCAAAGAGGAATTGACACAGCATCATGAAGCAATTCAACTCAACCTTCCCAGGCAGGACTGCTTCGAAAGAGTGACCATTTTCCACATCCAGGCAGCTCTTGGAATCTGTGCTGCACCTCCATGAAAGGACATTGTTTTACTAAAGTACAATCCAATGGGTTAAGAAACAAGTTTTAATGTCATTTGCTTTGTAAATGAAATACTACTGTAATGCATTTTATTGCAACCTTTGTATAGGCAAAGGGGGGGGGAGAGATTCTGTGAGGAAAAAGGAAATGCAAATTCCAATGTAAAAGTGGGTACAAGTTACTGACACAGACTAAGCAATTTTTATGGGAAGAACAATTTGTAGAAGTCAGCAACTTAAAAATGTGCACTAAATCTTAATGCAATGGTATATATTTCTTTGTTGTATTTTTTAATTGCTCATATCTACAGTCAATGTTCTTTCAAATCTGTGTAATGTAATCATCTGGCTGAACTTTTTTTAAACCAGGTGTTTTAAAATAGGCAAGTACAAGATATTTCTAAATGAGAAATTTATGTAAATACACTAATATTTTTGAAAAATACATTAAAATATGTATTTGAAAGTCTTATGATTGGTCTCATTTCTTCCAGGAAAATTGGAGGATGAGAAAAGATCTACCTGAGTAAGGTGACTCCTAGAAAATCTATCACAGTGCTACTAGAGAATCCAAGTAGTATATGGGTTTGACCTGAAATCCAAGGATGTCAAGACGTTAATTTTCTGTAGTACTTAAGTATTATCTCAGAGTTTGTATAAGAAAGATATTTTACAGCAAAATAAATGAACTGGATCTGCTCTGATAACAGCAATTGTTTCTTTGGGGATCTGCTGCAACTCAGCAAATTCAGGAGCAGGACTTCCAGGCTTTTGTAGTCTGGAGCAACTACTGTTTTGACTCAAATTCCATTTGCTTTCAAAGGTTAAATAGTAGTTCTTCAAGAACTCGTGCTAGGAGGGTTTTCTTTAGCTGTAGTGACTCCTACATGAGGGAACTAAGGCTGGGTATAAACACCCTTTTGTAGACATGCTAGGAGATGAACCAAACTGAAGCAGTGGTTGCTTGTGGCACACAACAGCATTATTCTCTAAGACAAATCCTCTAGACAATCAAGGTTTTATGGTACCGGAAGAATGAAGCAGCCTCCTTCTGGTAATGGGTTATTCATCATTCATCCTTCTGGTAATGGATTCTCCATCATTCATCCTCCTGGCAATGGGTTCTCCATCTTTCATCTCGACATAAGAAATTTTGTACAGTAAGAACAATCATTTATGAACAACCTCCTCAGGAATGTGGCAGCATCACCATCACTGTAGGCTTTCAAAATGGGACTGAATAAACATCTAATTTAATCTAGGCTACCTTTCCCATGAAAGGTTGGAACAGATGATCTTTTAAGACCCCCTCAAACCTGAGCTGTTATGTGATTCTATAGTCCAACTTTGTTTACGGTTTAACTACAGAACACAAAGAGATGTTAACATTAGACAGAACCTGTATTGCTCTCTCCCTTTTCCTTTCCCTCTTCCTTTTCCTGTCCCTCTCCCTCTCCCCATCCCTCTTCCTCTCCTTTTTCCTTCCCTTTTCCCTCTCCCTCTCCCTCCCCAGTGAAAACAAGAAAGATACTCAGCAGGACTCCTGAGAATTTCCTTGCTGTTGAAAAAAAAGATGGCATCATCCTGACGGCAAGGGGCAGCTAAAGGAAAATGCCCACTTCCAGAATACCTATGGAAGTTCCTGTCAGGAACGACGTTTTAAAATATATTTTGACATATATTTAATTATTTGCAGTCTAAGTCTTTGTGATAAGAACAGCAATTCTTACTCAGTTCCTTTCTGTGCACTACTGTAAGCACACACTGTAGTGACTAACACCAGTCTATTAATACCACATTCACATCCTTTTACACTAAGCTAGTATATTTTATACTGGGGAGTACAATTTTTTAATTAAATATAAAAGGCTAACCCAGCCTTTCTAAAATGCAGTTGATGCAATCATTTTAGAACTTGCCTTCATGGTTAAGGCCTGGGTTTAAATCAAAGAAGCTCAGTTTAAATCAAAATGGCCTGATGGGCGCCAGATTATCTTCATCAGAATAAGACCTCCATTTGCTCTGCATTTAAAGGCAGGAAAAGCAGTAATAAGAAATACTACCCAGATTCTAAACGTAACAGAAGGTCTGAAAATAACACTGCTATTATCTAAGTCTTATAAAATAGTACAGATACACTGTGTTAACTGTCATTAAGTTATCTATACCAGGCACTGGGCAATGTCCCAGGTCCTGGGGCACCACTGCTTAAGTGATCCTTGCAGTGGTCAGGCAATACACTGCAGAACACAGTGCTGTTTCTAGAGCAGAAGTTAAAGTCAAAGAGCCACAGAGTGGGTCAGCTGATGTCTTCATTAATGCTCACAGGAGCTAAATTCAGATGTCATCAAATGCCATGAAGAATAGTTTTATGAAAGCAACTGCTGCTCTAAAAACATCCCTTTCTGCACTTAAAATGGATCATTAAACATCCCAAATATCAGCCTCCAGTGACTTCCCCTGGACACAGCTCCACAGGCACAGCCCTTCATTCACACCACCGCCCTCATAGACGGGCCAATACCGTAGGGAAACGAAACCGTTTGGTATATGGTGGTAAAATATCCCACCAACACGTATTTCCCTTTTCACAGCAATATTCCGAAAGGGGAAGAGGTTTCGTAACGTTCACCAGACAAAACAATGACGAAAGGCCTCGCCAGGAGGCTGGCCGGGCCAAGGTGGCCTACAACACCCCCAAGAGCCATGGGACATTGGAGCCACCCAGGCCTCCCAACAGCGGCCCTGCTCCGGCTGACACCCGGCCGAGGCAGCGGGCCGCCCCCGGGAGGGCGAGGCCGGCGCTTAGGCCCGGCTCCCTCGGCGCATGGAGCGGCCGGTGGAGGGCGGCGAGATGGCGGCGGCGCTGCGGGCCGCCAAGCGGGCCCTCCGCGCGGAGCTGCGGCAGCGGCTGCGGGCGCTGGGCGCGGCGGAGAAGCAGCGCCAGTCCCGCCTGCTCGCTCGCGAGGTGGGTGCGAGCGCGCCCGGCTTCCAGGAAGAGCGGCCCCGGGGGCGGAGGGGGGAGCGCCGAGGAGCGGGGCCCGGCCCCCGCGCAGCGCGGGGAACCCCGGCGGGGACTTTCCAGGCGGCTCTAGGGAGCGAGGCGGTGACTCAGGGCTCCCGCCGAGCTCCTCGAGCGCTGCCCGGGCCTGTGCGGGGCGGGGAGCACCGCCTCGGCCCCGGCCCTGCTCCCTTCACCGCTCCTAATGAGCGCCGGGGAGCGGGGCTGGTGGCTTTGGTGAGAGCCATCACGGAGTGGAAGCATGGGGTTTGTAAAGCAGGAGGCGAGTTCTGCCATAAACCCCCCAGCAGCGGGGGGCGTGTGGGTTCCTGGGGGGTGTGTAACTTTGTGGGCAGCTCCTGGCAATACAGATGAATATTTAGCAACTATCTCCATTTAAAACAACTATATCTTGTTTACCTGGCTGACGTTCCCGTTCTGTATCTTTCCGTGGTATTTCTTCCATGCAGTTTTATTTCTAACGTAATTCTTATACTTTAAAAGGTACCAAGCAGGGTTTACCTAATTGGAATCCTAGCACAGCGTGGTGTTGGCATGTTCTTTCGAAAAGCCCTGCTTGCTTTTGAATCACAAAGTTTTTATATAGATGTATTTTATCATTTTAATAAATACAATAAAATGTTGTTCTGCAGTCACTGCATGTCCTAGAGCACAGTCCTCATTTTTACATTTTGCAGCACCAGCGGGTGTTTCTAGATGATCTACACTTGTATTGTTATTTTCCTGCCAGAGGATCACAAATCATTTTACAGACTTCACTTAATACTGATGTGTAGCCACTTAATGACTGGGATGTGGCTGCACAGAAACTTCAGGTCATAGGAAGCTTAACAGGAGTTCATGCAACACTTTTTTATTGGGAATGCTTTTTTTTTTAATACATATATGTAATGTCCTATCATGTTTCTGCATTTTAGTAATTAAACATCCTAGACTAAAATCTCTCAATTTTTTGAGAAAATACTGACATGCATCCTCTTCAAAACTGCAGTTCCTCTGTCAACTTCATAAGCACCTAGCCCATGTAGTAGTACCAGGTTTTAGGAGCCCTTAGCCTTTAAGCTCAGCAACAGCACACGTTTCTGCTTGTGAGAGCACACTAAAAGACAGCTTTTGTTTTGCATAAAAGAAGGCACCGGAAAATACGACATATATATTGGTGTTATTTTGCCATTTTAATAATCTGACACAAATTGAAAGTCCTGAGCTTGCTTGAGACCGAGGGGTGGTGTGCAAATGGCAGAAGTAGAGTCAGCTTCTTCTATAGGAGGGTAGTACTGCAGACATGAAGAATTTATTGAAAGTGCTAAAATAGTATTTGGAATGCTATAAGGCTGAAAATGTAGCTTTATAACATATATCACTGCTTGCAGCTAATAAAAGTGAGTAGGTTATTTTATAACACCTGAACAGTATTTTTAGTTGTAAAATCTCATCTCAAAGTGATCTTTAAGTTCAAAGTGAAACAGTTCCATGGGCTGACCCAGCCACTGGTACTTAATTAGCTTCTGGATGATTTTTCTAATGTTCATTAGTAAAGTCATGCTGTTTGTATGCTTTGATTCTGCAAAAGTAGCCATCAGGTGGCAAGCAAAGGGCAGATAATATTTGCTCAGAGTGGAAAATCTTTTACCCTTCTCAGAAAATGCTCCGAGTCATAGCGGCTTCATCTTCACAGTTCTGAAAACATCTGAAATTGTGTCTTCCTGTGTGGTTTGACATCTTCAGCCTCATTTTTCTTCTATATGGCATAGTCGATGTGTTGCTGGACGTGTTGGAGCAGATTGGACCTGTGTGGGGCCCACAGCACACAGCACCACTTTGAAAGAGAAGAGTTTCATGTCTCAGTTTCTCTTCTCCAAAGCTATGAGAAGATTCAGCTCTGGAGGCCCTCAACAACATGAATCACAGGCACTGTCTGGAGTCTACAATTTGACTAAATAGTCCTTCTTTCAAACAAAAGCTACCATGGAAATTCTGTTGTTTAAAAGCTTAATAACTTATGTGGAAAAATCCATGTGTAATGTTGAGCAAATTACAAAAGCAAGTGAAATATGGGTTTGAATTGTGAAGATATTTCTATGGCCAAGCAGCAACACATTACCGTAATTTGGTCTGCAGTAAGGTTTGTTGTTTTTTTTTGCCTTACAAAAATATATCCATCTTCTGAATGTTTTGCCTGGGCTTTTCACTGCTGTGCTGGGAAGAAAGGGAAAAAAGGAGTGATAAGCTATCTCAACTTGGATAAGGGCAATTATTTATCTCTCAGACCAGGGCCAGGGCAAAGGCTAAAGCTCAGAACAAGTTACCCTGCAGTTAAACAAACACAAAGCAGAGGATTTGGTGCTCTCTCCCCCACGGATAAGCACAGTTTCTCTGATTTGGACAGATTTTTGCAAGTGTGTAGAGTAAAAATAAATCACATTTAATGAGGAAGGACACATTTGTATTTGTTTTGACCAGATGTAAATAACAAACTATATGTGGTACTAGAGAACAAGAAGACAAACATTTAGAAACCTTCTCTCAAATTTTAATGTGGAATTCAAACGAATGGGGCTGAGACATAATGAGGTATAGATGCACTAACACTTTTTCACCATATAAGTGGTTTTTGTTTTCCTTCCCATATTCACTCTTTTATAAGCCCCGCACAGAGAACTTCATGAAAATCAAAAAATCATAAGGCCATTTTTCCTTCAAGCTCTGAAAAATGTGCAGTAATAAGATCCCCCGTTAGAAGGTGGTGATGTTTGAAGTCATATATTTAAACTTGCTGTACGGAAGGTGTTTCAGGTTAAAAGAAGGAAAGAGGGACTTGGCCTTGGAAGATTTTGTGCTCTGCAGTCATCTGCTCTGATGCTTATTTTCTTTTGAGTTATTATCATTGATGCACTTTTCATTCTACCTGGGCCTGGATGAGAGATCCGTGTAAAATGAGTGGAAGAAAAGGAATGCAAAAACCTTGTGTCTTGCAGAAGCTGGCAGCTCTGACCTGCTGTATCTTGCTCCAGTGATGTTGGGCATTTGAGGATGTCAGCACTGTATGGCACAAACATTAAAAGGTTCAGGAGATTGCCTCCTAAATTGCTTTTTGCTGGCCGAAACCTGTGTTACAATGTTCTGTTCACTAGGTGCAAATATTTAACCTATTTTCATTTTGCTGATGGTGAAAGTGTTGGAGTAGGAAACAAAGTCAATTTCTTCTTTTTTATGATGCAGGGTAGTTTGTATCTCTACCCTTTTCAGTGTATGTTTTGCTCCCATTGTGTGTTTAATTAAGAGTTCTTTTTGTAAACTTTTCATAAACAGACTGTCCCAATTTCCCATGTAGGTGATTGGCCATCCCAAGTACCAAGAATCCAAAAGAATTGCAATCTTCCTAAGCATGCCAGATGAAATCCAGACAGAAGAAAT